TTAACAAACTGCTGCATTGAAATTGATGAAAGTGGAAAATTGATCCAGGAAATAGCAGATCGAATGGTGAAGGTAGCTCATGTGCCTGTTCAAACTTGGGAGGGGTTCAGTATGGGGAACCTGTTTGGATCCTGGTTTCCTAAACTCCCTGAACTGCAAGCCATAGTGGCTCTAATTGGTATCATTGCAGCAGGATGTATAATACTCCCGTGTATCCTCCCTATATTCATCCGCACAATAACTAGCACCCTTTCCCTGATAGCCAAGAGACAAGTTACCGAGCAAATGATGACATAAAGACTATATCAGCCAGTATCCACTTCAGAGGATGAAGAGGCTGGGGAGCTGTTGCTTGAGTTTGAGACAAGAATGGAACAAGAAAAGGGGGGATTGTGAGCAGAACAGAAGCCATTATGACTTGTGAGAAAGTGTCTCAAACTCAGGCTAAAGAGGAGTTGTAACAGTATAGGGAGATGTTCAAATCAAGCTGAAGAGATAAGCAGGATGTGTTAGGGACTGAGAGCAGGAGAGTGGCCATGAACTGTAACAAAGTGTGTAGAAAAACTGGATGCGGGTAGAACAATGGAGAACTGTAATAGGGTGTATACGTGTCAGAAACCGTGTAGCTGCTTATGCCTCAAAATCCGAAATGAATATGTATCCATTTGAAATAGGAAGAATGTGAGCCAAGGCCTCGTATGAGGTGGGGTGGACAGTTAGGGTATAAAAGTGCCGTTTGAATTTTGCTCTGCGTTCCTTCAATGCCTGAGGGAACCCGTTTTTGCAAACACGTGAATTAAATCTTGTTTTCCTTGGATCAACGAACCTTGTGGTGGTCTTTTCGTAGCCTCCCACCTCACACTTGGAAAGGAAAAAAGTGAGTTTATTTTATTAATTAATGAAATTTATATGGCCTCCCATTTCACAGAAAGTGATTCTGTGCAATATATAACAAATATTCCAACTAAAGTGGCATGTCACAAAAACTCCAAAATGCAAGAGATTATGCATTGCCTCGAAAGATATGAAAGTCATTTAATGATTTAAGATTTACATACCAATAAACTGCAAGCATAAATGTAGGGTAGAATTTCTGGAAAACTCTGATTAGATGTATATCAACTCAGTTATCAACTAATAACTTGGTCCCATGCCGTGTAGGGGTTTGAATATGATAACTAGCACCTTGTGTTCTACCCAGTAGGAAACTGGGAAATACTGCACTTGTACAATAGAAGTATAATGTGTAGTAAAGTGTGTACTGGACCAGGGGTCGCCAACCTTTTAGACCTCAGAGACCACCAAACTCATAATTTTAAATCCCGCAGACCAGAGACCCTGGGAAAATCCCAAAAATGTCTGCAGGAAAATTCCCCAGCCCATTTTCCTACCGATAGATCATTCTTTATTTGGGATCACAGGATACCAGCTCCAGCTCCGTTCTCAGGGGGGGAGGGAAGGAGGGAGGGAGGGAGAGACAGACAGAGGCAGGCAGACACTTTTGGCTTCATGCAAGGAAAGCAACAGAAGCAGCAGAAGCTTTTCTTTCTCTCCCCCAAATTCTGCCAGAAATGAGTCTTTGTGAGACTTATCGCATTGGCGCAGCCTCTTGGAGTAGGAGGCCTTGCAGGATGCCAGAGATTCATTTCTGGCGGAGTTTGGGGGAAAGAAATAAAGACTTTTGTTGCTTTCCTTGCATGCAGCCAAAAGCAGAACAAGCTGAAAGAAGCAGCCCATTGGACAGGACAGGTGCGTGGGGCGAGTGGGGCAAGTTCCCCCCTCTGCCCTTTCCCGCCTCCCGTCACTACCTCATGTTATTTGCAATGCAAGCGACGCAAGCCTTGTGTTCCCGCAGGACATGTGGGCGGCACAGCCTTGTGTTCCTGTGCAGCCTGGATTAATTGCTTTGGGGGTAACATTTCTCTGCGGACCACCAAAATTTTCTCGTGGACCACCAGTGGTCCCCAGCCCACTGGTTGGTGACCAATGTTCTGGACTATTTATAGCTTTTGAGTGATCTTCAAGAACAGCCCAATGTAAAGTGTATTGCAGTAACCCAAAGCTGAAATTTCCTGTGATCAATGTGGTAGTGGAGATCCCAAAGCAGAGATGCAGGATGGTTATGTTGGTGGCTGGCAAGCACCTGGTTTAAGGACACTTGCACAATCAGGGCTCCTTTACATATTCTGGTAGTTGGAGTGAGGGCTTGGTGTAACTGGATCTTTTCTGCTTCCTTCATATGAGAGACAGGGATGGACCTAGAGTGCTGCCACCCAGCCATTTGGAATATGTAGTTTCTCCTCCTAGGGGAGAGATGAGGCATGGGATGGGTTAAGTTGGCCTTTGTATGGACTTGTCTTGCTCATCAATTGCAACCTTTTTTGGATAGGGAGCTTTGCGCACGGTCACTCGTGCCTTGTCACTTCAGTCCAGAGTTGTCCATGATAGGAAATGGGTATGTCTAGTTTAATGAAAAGAAGGGCTAGGGGTGACATGATAGCAGTATTCCAATATCTCAGGGGTTGCCACAAATAAGAGATTGTCAAGCTATTCTCCAAAGCACCTGAGGGCAGGACAAAAAGCAATGGATGGAAACTAATCAAGGAGAGAAGTAACCTAGAACTAAAGAGAAATTTCCTGACAGTTAGAACAATTAATCAGTGGAATGATTTACCTCCAGAAATTGTGGATGCTCCAACACTAGAAGTTTTAAAGAAGAGATTGAACAACATTTGTCTGAAATGGTATAGGACTTCCTGCATGAGCAGGGGGTTGGAGTAGATCCCCAAGGTCCCTTCTAACTCTAATTACAATTCTGTCCTGTTATAAGCAACAGAACCCATCAAAATGGCTGCTATATCTTATGGCTGCTTGAGCAGCAGCCACAAAACACAAGGCACTCATCCTGATTCCAACCCGCACAGATATGCTGCCTTTCCCTGCACCCAGTGCAGCAAAAAGCCTGATCACTAAAGTCTTCAATGCAGGGATGGGATCTGACTGGTGTAACTACCGGTTTGGTGATTTATATAATGATGCTTTGCGCGCTCATGCATGCTTTGCGCGTATGCGTGCCTTACGCGCACTGTGCATGTGTGAGAAATGTTGTCAGCTGTGCTACCCAGACAGCTGAATAACGCTGCACGCAGGTGCGCACCATTTGAAAAAGCACTTTTTTCAACCGCAGCTGTGCCGCGCAAAGCAGCTGAGGTTAAAAAAGCAGGAAATAAAGGTCAGGTAAGAGCCCGGGCGGGTGGGTGGGCCAAAACAGCAGCAGACACAGAACCGGTTCTGTATCTGCTGCTCTTCAGAGTTACTGGTTCTACAGAGCTGGAGAGAACCGGTAGAATCCCACCCCTGGTTCAATGGCTAAAACCCTGTAACCACCACGTTTCTTGTTCTGTGCCAGCCCAGTGTCTTTGTTTTCTCTGCAGCAGCAGACTCAAGATGGAGGATAGGAGTCTAAGCCACTAGTCCACTGCCATTTGCTCCACTGCACCCTCTGGAGTTCATTCCATGTCACCCATCAGCTGGAATAAAGACCCATCAAACTCTGTTGATTTCCAACCACGCTCTAAGGCATGGGTTTCAAACTCGATTGTGTCAGTCACCAGACACCCGGAACATGTTACCATATGTGGTGGACATGTACAGAAGCTAAAATATATTGGACAAATAAACAAACATGGTTGGAAAAGATGATAAAACAACACATAGACTTAAAACCTGAGATATTTTTATTGAGGATTTTACCTGAAAATTATAGTAAAGAAAAAAAATATTTAATCATATACATATTAACAGCAGCTAGAATTGTATTTGCTCAAAATTGGAAAAATGAAGATTCCGATAGAGGAAAAGGTGATCATGAAAATAGTGGAATGTGCAGAAATGAATAGATTAACATTAGCAATTAAAGAACAAGATCAAGCGGAATATTATATGATATGGGATTTATTTTATAAATGGTTGGAAAATATAGCAAGAAGTTAAATGAATATTGTTATAATGATAAGATATATAAGGCTGAGCAGTTTTTAATATGAATGTAATCATAGTAAGAAATGTATACTAAATATAAATATTTGCACAAGATATATGTACCCAGTCGAGACACATATAACTGAAAGATGGATTTGTTGTAAAATAAAATAAAAAATATTTTTTGAAAAACTCGATTGTGTCACATGATATATCGTGACGTATCGTGATGTGTTTTGCCTTTGCTGAGCCAGGGAGAGTATGCCCTGCACGTGATGCATCTGGCCTGCAGGCAGCCAGCTTGACAGGCCTGCTCTAAGGAATCCCGACAATAGAAGGCTACCACCCAACACAGTTCTACTTAGCTCCTGCCAGGGGGGATGTTGATGGAGGCTCCATTGGTCCTTTCCAACCATTTAGTCCACTGTTACCTCACTAGTTAACTGTGCTGCTGCTATTCCTGTTCCTCCCACCAGCCCAAAAAATTAACACTATCATTGCTGGCCACCCATTGATCTGACTGGGATAACCAAACACCTCTGTACACAGTACACAACATCTAGGTGAGCCTATCAACAGGCATTCACCTTGCTGCTATGGTGGAAAAAACAAGAACACATCAACAAAACCCTCTTTCATTAAAAACTTTTCTTATCTTTTTCCCTTCTCTTCTCTTTTACTTGAATCCTCCCTTTGTTTTTGTTTCTCTCCTTTGATCCACAATCCCCCGTATGCAACCATAAAGTTTATAAAATATCATTTTGAACACATTTTTCAAAAAAATCAGTTGTGGGACTGAAGTTATCTGTTTTCTTTTCAGCTGTCATCCCTTGAAAATATTCTTGTGCAGCAATTAAGGAAAAAAGATTTGTTTAAAATTTGTCTAGTTGTCAGATAGTGCCAGATTAATGAAACAGATAAAAGAAGCAATTTCATCTTATTTCTGAAAATGTGATAGCATTATATGTATACCATGTAAATTATAACGATACTCTTTTGGAACAAAATAAAATACCTACTAGTGGTGGTGATGTGGCAGTGTATTCCTTTTCCCTCTTGCTTGCACTTTCTGGATCATATAACCATACCTTTATAACCTGACAAAAAATAAAGATTAGTATTACAGAAGAAGGATTTTTGTTTTCATGAAAAATGCTTTTTAAAATTTCTGTAAATGTTATGTAATTATTAAAATAAGTAATTGTATTTGTTTAGTTTACAAGTTGAAAGAATTTTATTACTATTAGAAAATAGATTAATTTTCCCAATGAGAAAGGGAATGGGATTGCTCTGCTTATATACTAGTGTTCATGATGTTCATGGATTTCACAACACAAAATACTTCATCACGAACAATCAGCACTCAGATAAGCAAAGATTAATATCAAGATTAATACTAGACAAATAATCAAGAAGTAAACAATATCCCAGCCAAGGAACTATCAACTCAGACAAACAAGCTAATAGTAAATAGTAGCCTAATCAAAGAACCACCAAGGCCATTCCCACCAATACTGACAGGCAAGCCACTAGTGTATAAACAGAGAACAAATCTCACCCCCTTCTACCACTGATGATGAGCAGTGAGCTCCAAGGATTACACAATCTTAACACTGTCAACCGCACATTTAAAAAATTTAAACAGGGCCTCAAGCTGGAATGGGAGAAGTCTTTTACTTTAGTAAAAGATTTATCAGATATATGCATGTAGCCTTTTACCAGCTCAGAGAGTATAAATGATGATGAAGAATGAGAATTAATAAGAAAATCATGGCTTTTGCTAAAACACACGTTAATATTATTCAGAAACAGAGATAGGTTAATATTCTCTTTACATTTATTGACTAATTTATAATGAACAAATTTACCTGAGTTAGACCAGAATCCCATGACCTTTAAAAAAAAAACTCAGTTTACAAAAATATTGAAAAAATCCTAATGAAAATAGACAGTATCATTTTTAATTCAGAACAGTGGACAAAGCCCTGATTCTGAACGCTTGTATTCATAGATTTGAAGCTCAAAACAAATTATTTGCAGATATATCTTGTCAGTTTCTTCAAGTTTCCCAATTTAATTCTGTTAATAAAACGATGCATTCCAACTCAGGAATCTACTGTGACTGATTTATTTTATGTTTTACAAATAGATGCTTCTATCTCCTTTGATATGGATGCATTCATTAGGATATTCCTGGCTGTATATAGCAAGGATGATTTGTTGGAATATTATGGGTATCCTTTTAACATTTATACAGTCTGACGATATACTGCTGGATAACCTCCCCAAAAGAATGACTGATGAATGCAAGCATGATATTTTCCTGATACTCTCAGTAAGTAATGGTAACAGTGATAATAACATTCTGTATGCAATTATTGCAATTATTCTAGTCATTTATTAAAGGAATTTTCAGAAAGGAATTTGAAATTTTTCTTCTACTCCTTGTCCATAGTATTTGGGGTACTTGCCTCCATGCAATTCAATATCTATAGTATCTACAATCCTTGGGAGAGATCATTTGGAAATTTGGACTGAGATATTGTTAGCATGGGATATATCACACTATTCAGCCTCTACTTCTAAGCAACAAAAATGATATAATCTCTAACAGCAGAGTCAATCAGATCATGAATGAAAATTTATTTCAAAAAATATCCTAGCATCTGACAGCTGCACTGGAAAAATGCATACAAAAAAGTCTCTGCTGTGGAAGCATGCAGAATGTATATGCTAGCTAGGCAAAATAATATATGTTACCAGTGTCCTTACTGAGTACACTTAAGAGTACAAAAAAGTGAGAAATAAAGATACAAAAGGCAGAATGAAAAATAGAACCTAAATAAAAACATTTCCTACCATTAACTATTACAGGTAGTCCTTGAGTTACAATCAGTCACCTAGTGATTGTTCAAAGTTATGACTTAGCTGAAAAAGATGATTTATGACCCAGATCAGAAATTCTTATGGTTTCCCCACAATCATGTGACTGCCCTTCAGGCGTATGGCAACACAGTTGCATTTATGTCTCATTGTGGCATCCCAAGATCATGTGACTGTTTTATGACAGTTTTGCCAAAAAACGGTACTTCCAGTTCCGGTAAAATGTCGCACATAGCAAGAAAATGCTTCACACTTACAATTGCTGTATTTGCTTAACAAACCCATATGTAGTTACAACCACTGCAAAAAAGTTGCAAAATACCGTCAGTCAAATGACTGACCTATTTTACAACCACCACAACATACAACTGCAATGTGCAAGCTCCATTTCATTTGTTTGTTGAGGATTGCCTGTTCTTCAATATTGCTTTTTAATTTATGATATTAAACATTGGAAATGTTCACTTCAAGCTATAATCACAACAGGAAAATTGGCATACATTTTATTATAGATAATAATTCTGTCAATGACTTACAAGATGGGCAAATTATATCATAATAAATGTTGGGCATTCTAGGTGCTGGCCTAGAAACCAGAAGCTGGTGAGCCTTCTTTAAGCCTGAAAACTGGCTGGAGATTTTGGGCCAAATATTGTCTTTCAGCTCACCCTGCCTCATAGAGTTATTGTTGTAGAGAAAATAGGTGGCAGGCATATTAGGCATATTCGCCATCTTGAGTGAACCAAATGGATATTTAAAAAGTGGGAAAATATATAGCAATAATTCAGTAAATAATAACAATGAATCCTACCCTGCATCCTTGCAGCAATGTTAACAGACGGTACTTTCCAAGAAAAATAGGTGGGTGTGGAATGTTGCAAATAGATGATTGGAGAAGAAAAATGGGATTTGGCAGAATATCTGGAGATGCACTGAAGCTAGTATACTAGGAAGGCTTACTGAATACCAAAATGGCTTACAAGGACCAAATAAAGAAGGAAAAAGTGGCATGGGAAGATAAGGTATTACATGGCCAGTACATTAAAAACAAAACAAAACAGGTAAACCAGATAATATCAAGACCTGACAATGGCTAAAAGCAGGAATATTGAAGACAGAGACAGAGGGCTGCACAAGCCTTAAGAACAATGACATACAAAGCCAGAATTGAGAAGACAGCAACAGATAGTAAATACTCCCTCTGCAAGGCAGCAAAAAAAACAGTGGATCACCTAGTTAACTTGCTGCAAGAATGTCACACAGAACTTGTTGTTGACTACAAACAGCATGATAAAATAGAAAAAATGGTGCTGGAAGATCTGCAAGAAATGCCCTTTGCTTGCAACTAAGAACTAATGGGACCACAAAATAGACAAAGTAGTACAAAATGAAGAAATTAAAGTGCTTTGGGACTTTAGAATTCAGAAGAGACAAGAACCTGTCACATTACACCCCAGATTTAACCATTCTTGATAAGAAATACAACAAAGTCTGGATAGAGGAACAGCACAACAAAAGAGAAAGAAATGGAGAAAATAAATACAAAATACAAAGACCTACAAATGAAAGTAGAACTGTGGCAAAGAAAGCAAAGATAATACCAGTAGCACTAAGATGCACACGGTAGGTGCAATCTCAAAACGTCTGAAGCATCAGTTGAATATCATCACTATTGACAAAATCTCTATCAGTCAATTGCAAAAGACAGCTTTACTTGGAATACCTTACATCCTACAATGATACCTTAAATATCATTAAACAATAACATCTGGCTATCACAGGTCCTTGGCAAGTACTTTATACATGGACAAAAATGCCAAATTGTCTAAACATCTGGCAGGTCATGTGACAAACCATAATGATAATGCCACAATAAAGAAGTTTTCATAGAGCCATATTTCATTCACCATACCCCCGGGAGGTTGTCCCAAAAGTATTTTTTCAAACGGCAACTGGACTTTGTTTTTTCTTGAAGAGATTTCACTTCTCATCCAAGAAGCTTTTTCAGTTCTGACTGCATGGGGGGAAATGGAAGGATTTATATTCCTTGTGTCGTGTCCGTCGCAAGGAATGAGACTCGGAGCCAGTGACTTGGTTCAGCTCATTTATTGGTTCCCGAGATCGGCTCGGCTCCCGAAAGAAAACGGTGGCTTTTATTCTTTGGCTGCGGTGGCCGCGGCCAATGGCACCGCTTTGAATCTCCCGGAATTAGTTTCCACCAATCGCGGGAGATTCGCGGCGGGCCAATCCGGGCGGCTCACTTGGCCAATCAGTTCGCCGCGCGTCTTGGCCAATCGCTGCGCGGTTCTACAAGAATGGTAATGACCGTGCAGAACACCCCTCCCCTCTTGGTAGGGTCCTACGTAACGTAGTCCCGTAAGTAGGCGGGGCTACGTACTTGTCTACTTGACCTGCGCAGGTTAGTTGGTGCTTGGCTCCCGGCCGGTTCGGTCGGGTTCTGTGTTGCTCCTTGTCCTGTTGATGCAACCGTCTGGAAGGCTGGGCCGGGCCTTTCATCGCAGCTCCCTCCCGGTCTACCCGGGCTGGTTGAGTTGCGGTTGCCGCTCCTGCCTGGTCTTTCCGGGCTGGTTGAGCTGGCCCGGCTGCTTCTTGCTGGTGAGGTGTCAAGCTGGCTGTATGCCGGTGAGTATTCCTGGTTTCTTTCTAGTGGGGTTTGGTCTTTTGGGCTCTCCCTCCCCTCTTGGTTTGTGTTGAGGGGGTTCCCTTCTGTGTTTGTTTCTGTTTGCGTGTCGGTTGTGTTTCCCGTGGCTGTTCTAGACCTTAACTGGTCGATGTGTCGTTTCCATGCTCGTCCGTCGGTTGTCTGTAAACGGTACGAGCGGGGGCCTGTCACTTGGGTTACGGTTGCTGGTACCCAGAGTGGGTCTCCGGTGAGGTTTTTTGCGTATACCGCGTCGCCAGTTTTAAAGGTTCGGTCTTTGCTTGAGGAGTTTGGGGGTTTTTCAGGGTTGTATGTGGGGTGCAGTCTGTCGAGTGGGGACCTTAATTTTCTCCCCATCAGTAGTTCTGCCGGGCTTTTATTGGTTGTTGTATTCGGGGTTATGTGTTGTATAAAGAGCATTTTGTTTATTTTCTCTTGGATTTCCCCGTTTTCTATTTTTTGGATAGTTTTTTTTGTAAATTGAACCATCCGTTCCGCCCTCCCGTTCGCCGCCGGATGTGCCGGCGCTGTCAACGCGTGTCGTATCCCCCGCTCCACTAGGAATTTTTCGAATTCCAGTGAGGTAAATTGGGGCCCGTTGTTGGATACGAGGACGTCTGGGAGGCCGTGGGTTGCGAATAGTTTGCTGAGTTCTTTGGTGACGGCCTCCATGGTGGTAGTTCTCATGTTGCTTACCTCCAACCAGTTGGAGTAAGCGTCTACCGTGATGAGGAAGGTGTGGCCTTTTGTGGGCCCGGCAAAATCTATGTGGATCCTGGACCATGGTCCCCTAGGGGTTTCCCATTCCAGGATTGGGGCGGCGGGAGGGCTGGGTCTGGTTTCCTGGCATCTGTTGCACGCTGCCACCCAGGCCTCGATTCGTTTGTCCATCCCTGGCCACCAGGCGTAACTTCTGGCCAAGGCCTTTGTCCTAACGATGCCTGGGTGCCCCTCATGCAACAATTCCAAAACCTTTCCCTGTAATTTTTCCGGAATAACAACCCGGTCCCCCCAAAGTAAACAACCTTTTTGCAATGACATTTCTGTTTGTCGGTTTCGGAATGTTCTGAAGTTTTCGTCGTCGTCCTTTTCGGGCCACCCCTTCTCTACCCAATGCAATACCCGCGCCAGACGTTTGTCTTTATTAGTTTCACGGGCAATGTCTGACGCGGTTATGGGTAGATCGGGCAGAGTCTCTATGCTGAGGGTGGTCGTCGTGGGTGCTGGGTCGGTGTTGAAGTCTGGTAGTGGCGTGCGACTCAGGGCGTCTGCATGGGTGATTGTCTTACCGGGTCGGTGTGTGAGCCGGTAGCTGTAGGCGGCAAGGAATTCGGACCACCTTGTCATT